CCTCCTCCTCCTCTTCCTCCTCGTTCTCCTCCTCCTCCTCCTCCTCCTCCTCCTCCTCCTCCTCCTCCTCCTCCTCCTCCTCCTCTCCCTCCTCTTTCTCTTCCTCCTCTTCCTCCTCCTCCTCCTCGTCCTGGGGCGAGGGGCGGGCGCATCCATTTTGCCCAAGCCAGCTGCCCGAGAGCGGTCGCCGGTGCATGCGCAGCTATTCATGGCGAGCGGCCCAGGAGCCGTTCGCCCGCCTGGCATCGGCGGGCTCGCCGTGCGAGGGCCGAAAAGCGTCGCGAGCTCAGGCTCGTCGCGGCGCGGCGGCTTCGGCGGCGGCACCACGGCGAGCACATGGCGAGCAGGAACACCGTGGGCGGCGGCGCTGCAGGCGGTGGCGGAGGCGATGCTCTGTGGCGCCAGCAGGAGTCACCAGCGGCGCCGTGGGCCTGCTCGGCCACAGGGGCTTGTGGATTCAGAAGAACGGTCGCAAAGAACACGACCTGCTGCCAGTGCGGCCGCAGCAAGGACGGCAGCCACCCCACCCTCAGAAATTGTGCGCTGCAGGAGGGCGGTTCAGCCCTTGCGGCGCTTGCGCTACGACGACGGGCACGAGCCCATGCGCATGGCCGTGGGGGAATAGCGGCGGCCCCGGCAACACGCTATGCTCTGCAAGCAGAAAGCATGTCGCTCCGCCCCACGGGGCGGGAGGAGCTCGGGAAGGCTTAAGACTCTGAAGCCTGGGGACCGGTGAGCGGACGGCGAGTCGCTCCGAAGAGTGGTGGGCCAGTACCGGCGGCGCGACACGTTAAGCCCAAACCCTTGACCGTATGCGATTACCCATCGGTCGGAAGAAATAGGTAGAAACATAGAGCAGGAAGGCGTTGAAACGAGACTGGGTTCCGTCCGCCCCCTAAGGAGGACGGAAAAGGTGAAGCAACTCGACCGTCGAAGTAGGAAGGCGCTTATTGGAATCTGGAAATCCAGAAATACCTACTTTCAACGACGGATGGGTATGAGCTCGACCACAGGAAGCCTTCTACGAGAATCCCGACCCTGAGACCCCAGGACGTCCACTGATGACTTTGGTGTGGGAACATCACGCTTTCCATCGCAGAAAAACAATCGAAACCCAAGAGACCCAGGGCACCCTGGAGACAAGCAGGGTATTTCTTGGCATGGGTTGCCACTGTGCAGGCAGGAAGCGGGATCGGGTCGGCTCCGCAGGAGGCAGTGTCCTGCTCCGCAGCGCCGTCTGGGCCCCGCCCCTCCCCCCTTGGGGGGGCCTCAAGTGCGGAGCCGAAAACTCAAGCACAACTGCGGCAACACTTCTAGCCCGCCCTGCCCGGCTGCCCACAGAAGCACCGCGGCCCAAACCAATCTCCCGCCCTGACCAGCAAGGAGAAAGGAGGCGTGAGGGAGGAGTGGCAAAGCTAAGAGGTCATGCCGCAGCGGCCGACGCCATCTCGCCGTTGTTGCAGCCGCTGCCGCGCCAAACACAAACTCTGAGACAGCTTCTTCACTTCCTGAACCTGAAATCAGCCCCTGTAACTACCCATGGCGCGGACCCTACCGCTCGCTGCTTAGGGCGTTCCTCCCCCTCCGGCTTTTCCCGAACGACACGCAGGTCTCCGCGAGGCCCCCGGATGCCTCCAGAGGAGCCCACTAAAGCGTCAGACGTTATCAAAAGCCAAAACCCCATATCGAACGACAACCAGGAGAAGTGGCAAAGCAAGACCAATCACCATCGAATCGGGAAATCGGACCGGATCGAAAAACGCATCGAGAAAACGCGCATCGAGTCGGGCCGCACAGGCATGGAGCCGGAATCGAAGTTTCCGCGCCAGGATGCACATCAAGACCACGCAAGCATCGTCCCGCACCTGATCGTCCGAATATCGAAATCGACTGGGATCGGGCCAGCCGATGCCGGCAACGAATCGGATCGAAGTGGGCCCTGACATAGTGGTTTGTCACGTCTGTAGGTGGCGACATCTGAACCTTACCCTCGCCAGCATCGATTTACCCGAATCGATTGGTGGTGCTCGTGCTCGACGAATTCCGATTACGCCACGTGCTTGACGAATTCCGAACACTACCCCCAGCGGCCATCGAATTACCTGAATCGTTGATCGGCGAGGGTAGGGCGACGAGGCCAAATCCATGCAAAATCCGTCCCCAGACGCCTCCCAACGACCATTTTGTGAAATTGTTCATCCCGGACCCGTCTTGAACGGTCCCATGGCCCGAAAGCGGCCCCCAAGGGCAGACAATTACCAAAAACCTGTCTGCCGAATAATCATTGATCATTGAATAACCAACAAAGAAGACCCCTGACCCCCTGGGAGGGGACCTAAGTTAGGAGGACCAGAAACATCAGGGATAAGATTTTTTTTGCTGAAGAAGCACTGGGCCAAACCGCCCAGGTGAACCATCCCCAGTGCGAAGACGTTGGGACCCCAGGGAGGCCACGTCTTTAACGTGAAATTAAGGCGAGGGGTCCTTCTGTTCTCCAGGAATCACTGTTCCGCCCACCGCGCGGGCACGGCCTGAACTCCGCAGCCGAGTGGCCCCGATGAGAGAGCGGGCGGGTGCGTCCTCCAGCAGCGGCCGCACGTGCGCGGGCGGGGCCTCCCGGCGCGGCTCGGGCAGGAGGCGAAGCAGCAGGCACGGGGAGGCCTGAAACCCGTCTCCCAGCGCACTCGTTTCCCAGACCCCCTCGCGCTGACAAAAACCACGACGGCAGTTGTTTCCCCAAATGTCGGCCCCTGGCGGCCCCCACCGGGCCTCGGGACTGCCAACAAACGACCCGGGAGGCAGAACCGGTCCCGGGGAGTGGGTCGAGACTTTGTGGTGAGCGACGCTTTCAAGAGTCATGACGTCGGGGGTCTGGGCTCCTTCACGTCATCAAGCTGTGGGGCTCCAGAGCAGGACCCGAGCCTCCGACGGTGGGGCAAAGGCCATCCCGGTCAAGACGTCTGCTGATAGAGCCCTGCGCGCCGCCACGCTGGTCCCGGGCAGGCTGTGCTGCCCGGCGGAGGGGGAAGACCAAGGGAGAAAAAGGCAGGCAACGACGAACGTGAAGGGGCCCTGGGACACACAAACAAATACATATACACACACACAAATAGCAGGATCCCCCGTATTTTCCTACATTTTCTGGGTTTTTGTCTTCCCCCCCACTTCCCATATTTTCCCATATTTTCGTGGGAGTCGACGATTAAGTGTGTCTGTGCGTTTTTCCCCCTCCTGAAAGAAGGCAGGCAACGACGAACGCGCAGGCGGGAAACCGGGGCCTGCCAGGCAGGCGGGCAGGCCGAAAACCACCCCTGTTGGCGCAGCAGATTGGCAGCCCCGACCAGACGGAAGGCGGTTCACTTGGCGCGGGCCCTGATGGAGCCGGCCGCGAAGGTGGGGCCCTGCCCTCCTGTCCTGTGGCCGCGAAGGTAGGGGAGGAGGAGGAGGAGGAGGAGGAGGAGGAGGAGGAGGAGGAGGAGGGGGAGGAGGAGGAAGTGGAGGAGGAGGAGGAGGAGGAGGAGGAGGAGGAGGAGGAGCTCCTAATTCCTAATTCCTCAAGGCGTGTCCCTGCATCTAGGCAGGCCGCGTATCAAAACCTCAGCTCAAGTCAGGAACACAAGTGTCTGACCGAGGCGGCAAACCTCGTTTGAACCGAGACAGTACATCACGCCCCGTCTTCGTGGGCGGGTGGCATTTTTTCGACAAATCCCGCGGCGCCTTCACTGTGCAAAAGGCACCACAGGTCGTACAGAACAGCACCCCTCGCAGCACTGCGAGGTGGTGTGAGGTGTCGCATTGATCCGCTAACGGATGGTCCAGGGCACCCTCACACGACGCCGACGGCCCCAGGCCACCAGGGGCAGGCTCGGGATCATCACGACCACTCACTGGGCGTGCAGGCAGCAACTGTACTCGCTGCTGCAGTATGCAGCGCGGCTTACAAGGATCAGGCCAAAAATCATGCAGAGAGCCACGCATCGTGAAATCCTTAGCACAGGCAGGACAGCGGATCACAGCCTTCCTTTTCTCAGGCTGGTGTCCCTCATCACGGAGGCGACACATCCTTTCAGCAAAACTGGTAGACTGTCCTCGCTCTCGGCGAGGCGCACGAACAGCCCGATCACGATCGCCACAAAACAAAACCTCCGTCTGCACTGCCAAGAAACGATAAAGCACATCCGAAGCGAAACGATCCGCCTCAAGGGTGCGCCTAACGCCATCCTCAGAAACCTGAACTCGCGCTGCAGCGTCCTCCGCGAAACGATCCGCGGCACGATTCAAATACAGCTCTACATCCGAAAGCAACATGTTTCGGCGTTGGGCATCAGTGGCGTGTCCTTGTGTCCACAGCACATTGAGACTTCCTCCACGGGCTTTCATGGCAGCATGATAGCGGGCCCACAACTCCTGCATACTCGAGCGCTGCTTGGCCTCCAAAGGCTGCCGAGCCCCTTTCGCCACCGCTAAACAATCACAATACACACGACAATCACCAGTACTGCTCAACGCCAACTGGATAAGTGCATGAAGTTCAGCGAGAGGGGGCGACTGTCGCCTCGTCGGAAGCGACCCGCTGGCAACACCATCATATAGCCCATCAGGACCTAAGTGAACACAACTCCACCCGCAACGGCGGAGCCTCCAGTCCTGAGTATATCGACCCCCCGATCCATCTATTCCCCAGACTCCTCCGTGGATTTTAGAGTCCCCAACCAGTCGGCCCCGCTCCCAAACACGCTCCTGGGGAGCAGGTAAGTGGCCACATGAGGCCTCGAGGTAAGGGAGACCCCGAAACCACGAGCAAGCTTTTTCAGGCTCCGATCGCACTCGCGACGCCAGGTGATCGGCGCGCTCCACGACCTGATCGGGGATGTCCCGATTGCACTCGCAATTTCAAAATCGATGGGCGGGCGTCTCAGCTGAAGCGCCGCACCTGGGGCAGAAGCACCTGGAGACGGAAAGGTAGCCAGCATCGCGCAGTCTAGCCTCTGTCCAATATCCCGCAGTAATCACATTTCTAAGAATCCCTGCTGCCTCCACCTCCCCGCCCTTCTGAAACTTAGACGAGGCCCTCCTCCCCGCCGTAAAGTCAGCCCCTCCTTCCAGCCCGGCACCCATATAGTGGCGAGCGGCCTGGCGCCAAGACAGCGCCGAGCATGTGTCCAGCAACTGCTCCCACAAGGCTGAGGGGATCTCATCGTCGATTCTGCGGAATTCGCGTGCGCCTGCGCGCCAGCAAACAGGAGAGATGGGCCCCCAATTTGAATCCAGCAAGACAGCGGCGGCAGCGGCAATAGGACCCCGAACAACTTTCCAACGATATCGGGTAGAGTCAAACTTAGCCTTAATACGGCGCCACGTTTTACCGATTATCATCCTCTGGGGGTGGGCCAAGTGCTTCCAGACACTAGCAGTGCTGAACAACTGCGCATACCGAAGCCCAGACTGGGGGTCATCCTTGGCCGAACCCAGAAGTCCCAAGACCGAGGTGGTGCAAGCCCCCGACGACCGCCACCCAGAACGCATGGCCGCTTGGGCCCTCATGCTTAGGACCTGACTAGGCGCGGGCCCCAAAACTTCATGGCCCCAGGACCTGGCCGCCAAAAAGCCGGGCTTGTACAGACGGCCGGCCCGACTAAGAAGCTTCGTGAGGTAAGAAACTTGTTGGGCCTTCTTGCGGGCCCTGCGCTGCCGCTCCTTCTCCTTACGCGTGCAGCGCCTCTTGCCAGCCGTGGCCACGGCCCCCGGATCACGCACAGCGCGCTCACAACGAAGCCTGATGCCATCACTATCCAAGCGAGTAGTGACAGCTCGCCCCAGGGCAACAGTAGAACAGACCATAGCACTCTTGCCCGAAATAACAATGCCAGCTGCTTCAAGCTGACGGTGTAGCCACACGGCTGCTGGAACAATGGTGCTGACGATCTCATCAACCGAACCTTGTTGAATTTGGGTGCTGTCGTCCACATAAGCTTGCAATCGCACGTCGCATAAGGGAAAAATTGGCGTGCGCAGTGTCAAGCACGTCGTATGAATAAATCTTAACCCACGCCATGGACTGCAAGCAACCTGGGAGTACCCCTACGCCTGTAGGAATGATATCAGAGACAAATCACCCAACCTCCAAGATGCAAGGGGCCTCATGCATAATCAACCCCAGGTGCAGGAGGTGCACAGGGTACCGCACTTTCAAAGCAAATCCAGCGAGGCGACAAGGGTCAACTGTAGCAAAAAAAACAACTTAGCAAGGTCCCAATACAGACAAATAGACTGCACGTTCATATACGAGGCCACCTCATGACCGACTTCACGCAACTAGGCGGCAACCAGAGCCGAGGGCCCTCGAATCGCCGTGCCCCAGAAAGCAGCACGCTCGGTGGTCCAGGAGCTGATATCCTTTCCTCGAGCCTTGCAATAAACTCGATGCAAGGCGGCGCGCTTGCAGACGGGGCGCTCCGCGCCCTTGGCCTTAGGGATGAGAAGGGTGATACCGAGCATGGTTTGGGTGGGCCACATCATGTAGCGCTCGCGCAGATTGAGGAGCTCAGCCTAGACCCCAGCAGCGGACGGATGGAGAAACAACAGGGAGCGCGGGGCCCGGTGATCGACCCCCACAGCCGCACCAGCCTTGAACACCCGCGCCGCTCGATGCACATCGGGCGTCCAAAGAGGCTCCAAATCCTCCGCAGCCGCCAGCGCGACCGCCCGCAGCTCATCCCAAACCCTCGACAATCTCTCTCGTTTCTCAGCAGTGGCTCCCCAATAACCTCTCCAATACTTCTCACGATAGGCCACGAGGTCCTCGGGGGGCTGCAGGGCTTCAGAGGGGGTGGCGAGGTGCTCAAGATCCTCGCCCTGGTCGTAGTTTAACCAAGCGCGGACTCGTTTGGCTCCTTTGGGGAGAGAACGCAGCAGCCAGGCCTTCATCTTGGCCTTAGACTCTGAGCTGGCCGCGGTCCACGCCTTGGCCAGGATGCTACTACATGCATTGGTGATCGCAGCGAGACCTGGCACATCCTGGGGCAAGCTGGCTAACTGAGCCCGCCACCACGCAGCGGGACGGACATCTCCAGGAATCGCATGCCTTTAGAGGCACCACTATCGCAGCAGCCCGATCAATGGATACTTTGGACTTCCTGGCCAAGCTCAACCTGTACTCCCAGAGGCTCTGCGATAGGTGCGCCCAGAAACCAAGAGCTGATTGCCTAAATGACCGACCTGCAAAACCGCGACGTCCAACCTTGCCACGACAGCAACGTGGGTACCCAGCTCGCTCAACAAAGCCCTGCGGAGCGGGATCAACAGCACAAGCTCGCGAAAGATACATGCACTCCGCGACGCGGTTCCATAGCACATAATACTCGGGGGGAGCAGGAGAATAACTGTCAGCTACATGCTACAAACACTTCTCAGTCAGGAATGCAGGGGCCTCAAACATACCTTCGTCGCGGCACTGCTCTAACCAGACCTCCCCAGGCAAATCAAGTCCTTCACATTCAGGGAAGGGAGCTGGCTTAAGACGCTTCCAGAGAACCTGCTCCACCACGTCATGAACAATGCCCGCGCTCAAGCACGCATGTGTTCTGAACGGCGAGCGGGTGCACTTGCCAACCTTCAAGAAACCAGAAGTATCATCACAGGCCACCACATAATCAACAAGGGCCCCCCTCCCCTGCGAACACGTAAAATCCAAACCTTTCGGGGCAACGGCGCGAGCACGCGCAAGTCAGGTAAATCCAGACAACTCCCGATCACCAATAGGAAGATTCAATCTCCCATAAGTGCCCGGGGGACCGCCAGGGTGCCCACAAACTCCGCGATCTCCTGAAGCCTAGAGATATTCTCGCCGCAGACGCCCAAGTCCGAAACCATATATACGACTCCAATCGCAGTGATGGGCTGTTTAGTCCGAAGCTCGAGGATAATCCAACAGCGACCCTGGCCCAGGTCCTTCACAGACCCCGCGCCAGCCAGGAACCCACGAAACCAAAGCCCCCGAGAGACCACAGCCCCGACCCCCCTCCAGGGGTGGGGGCGGCGGCCTGAAAATGAGGCCGCCACTTGATATGATTACATTTCCTTCTAGCAAGCTTCGCCTTAGCCTCCGTAAGGTGATGCTCGCAGAAGGAAAACCCGTCACATGTCTGCTTCACCCCATGAGCGAAAGACAGGGCCACTTCATTCCAATACGCAATGTTACAAAAAACAGCTGCACATAACTGAGAGGCGGCACACTCACATGCCTACACGAGCTGCTAGGAGCTGTGCCTCCGCGAGGCGGAGGACGCCGCAGCGCCCGCACCTCGAACCACGGGACCTCGTTCTTGCACCTGCTCAAGCACACGGGCGAAACTAGCAGCTCCTTCTTTCCGCACTGTACGGAGTCGCTTCGTAGCCTTCTGAGCTGCCTGCTTGACGAGGATGGTCTCCATACGGTTGCACTCAGCTTCTGTGAGAGCCTGTTCCAGTGACCGCTTCCGAAGCTGATCCAATTCATAACGATGATGGTCACCAAACTCAAACTCGCCAACCTCCGACACGTCATCCATGGGGGCCGCAATGCTCTGCTCCATCTGCTTGACGGCCTCCCAATACTCGTACCTGTGGCCATGCTTCTGGCACCACTCCCGAATATCGTCGAGAGTCATCTGCAAATGGTCAGGGGGCCGAAGGGCAGCAACCGCTGCACCCGCGCCCTCAGGAACCCCACGACCCGCATCAGCACCGTCTCCTCCGCCGTCCCAGCGCGCGCCGCCGCCTGCGCCAGCGGCGGGGGCGGCAGCGGGGGCGCGCGGCTCGGTGAAGCCGTCCTGCGCCTCGCGCTCGGCAGCAGCAGCAGCTTGGCGCTGACGTTCCACCTCAGCACGCTTGACCTCTTCGAACTGGCCAATGTTGAACTGGCCAATGTTGAAACGGTTATTCTTAGCGTCCGCCTCGCGCACGGCCTGACGCGCCATCTCCAGGTTGCGCTCCGCCTCGACACGGTTGCGCTGCATCTCCTCCAACGTAGCCTTCGCCTTATTGTATCGCCCCAATCGCCATTGTACCTCCTGGGCAGCCAGCCGTTCCTGCTTGGTGGCCTGCTCGACCTCCTTCGCCAGGGCGGTCTGCTCCAGCGCTGCCAGTCGGTCCAAATCGCCGTCGGTGTACTCAGGAACTCGAGGTGGCGGCGGTGCCGCTGCGTCCTTCGCCACGGAGGCCCGGGCAGGGTAGTGCACCGCCCACTTCTCCAGCTCACGCAGAAGATGAGGAGGCATAGGTGCTGTACCAGCACCTTGGGCAGATTCACGCTGCCCACCACCTTCATCGCCAGCATCATCACCACCCAGGTAAGCACCGCCGCACTTACTGCAGCTCTCGTTCCCGTAGGGCACGTACTCCCAGTGCTGGCACACGCTACACACTGCATACTCAACACCTTTCTTGCCACCACGTTTTTTCTTGCTTGGCGGCCCTTCATCATCAGGCTGCCACACCCACGTACCGCTCTGCGCGCCAGGCTGCCGACGCCGCCCTCCACGCCAAGGGGCGCGGCTGCGCCAGGACATGCGGGGCGCGGGGAGTGCAGTGAGTGCGAAAAAGAACGCCAGGCCTCAAGAGGCCTTGACTGCCGCGGTGACAGCGGTATCCGTTTCGGCACGGAGGCGCGGAGCCCCCCAAGTGCAGGCATCTTGAGCCAAAATGGCTACGGGGAGGAGGAGGAGGAGGAGGAGGAGGAGGAGGAGGAGGAGGAGGAGGAGGAGGAGGAGGAGGAGGAGGAGGAGGAGAGGGGAGGAGGGGGAGGAGGGGGAGGAGGAGGAGAAGGAGGAGGAGGAGGAGGAGGGGGAGGAGGAGGAGGAGGAGGACGAGGAAAGAGGAGGGAAAGAAAGAGGAAGAGGAGGAAAAAGAGGAGGGAGGAATATCATAATACCGGATCAACAGTGTCAGATCAAAATGAAATACGACGATCCCTCTGCGCGAAGCCCTCTCTCGAACCTGCTCGAAACTTCCCACCAGCCTTCGGTGATCAAGTGCGAGGGCGAGCCCGGGGCCGAAGCTGACAGTCCATGGAAGCCACAATCCACAGGGCACCAGGAGCCAGAATAAGAAACGAAACAAATAATCAAAACAGACGTATGCGAGGAGGACGTGCGACACTAAGGAGACAAACAATAACATAAACATCAAACCTCGGAGGTCCGCGCGGATTTCTCGGATCGGCGCTGGAGCCCCTCCGGCGGCGCCCCTGGCTTGCCCCTCGCGCCAGGGAGGGGGGTCCAACGCCAATCCGACAAATCCGCACGGACCTCCGTGTTTTTTTTTATGTTTGTGCCATTGTTTGTATCCTGGACCCCCCGCCCTATCCCCTTCGGCGGCCTATACCCCCCGCCCCCATCGTCAGCGGGGGCGGATGGATGGCACGCCGTGCGCAGCCACAACCGTGCTCTGGCCTGGGCGCCGCTCGCCGACGAACGACAGGCGCCACTCCTGAGGCCCGTCTCGCCAATTGGGTGTGCTGCGACCCCGAAAAATAGATCGAGCACGTCCTCCTACAGGCTGGCTTTGGACGGAAAATTAAGAAAACATAAGGTAATCAGGGAAAGTCCAGAATTAATCCCCGCACTTTTTCTCGACTATTCCTGAATACTTCTCCTGTAGACAGAGACGTGCCAGAGTGAACCCCGAAAGTGCAGCATCCGACGGCGGGGGGGGACCGAGGGTAAGATCGCAAGGCAGCAGCAGCTGACGATGGCTCATCGCGTTGCTCTAGCCTCGCGGTTTCCTGATGGGCACACACACAAGAATTGCCAGGAAAAACTCCGAACAAACGCTTCCGAACCAACGCCGCTCTCCGGTCCTCCTCGAGCCCCGGGAACCCTTTCGCTGTGCATGACAGTGGCCTCAAGGGAAGCACACATTGCAATCGAATCTGCAGCTTCATTGCCATGCGTCCACCATTGGAAATAAACTTGTCCCACGATGTCGGCTGCTCGACGTTGCTAGGCACCGTTCGACGAGACAACTCACCCAAGGACAAAAGGATTGGCCAACAACAAACTGGCTAGCTTGCTCCAACACACGACTTGCACACGGCCCACCAGGGGCCCCAGGATGCCAGACACAAGAGAAAAAAAAGATCCAATAACCTCGCGACGATGACATCCGCTCGAATTCTCCACAGACGCGGTCCGCGAGTTTCGGGGCGAGAGCAATCGCAGGCGCCTCAGGCGTTCCGGCCCCCGTCGAGCCTGCCCGGAGCTCATTGCCGCCTGCGCCGAAAGTTTGCCACTCATCACCAGGTGGTGGCTCGCTAACCTTGGTCCATGCTGACGGGGTCAAAGCCCAGATGCCAGAAGCAAGCATCATGCTCTCTTGCGCCGCGATCGCTGGGTCAAACTCGCCAGTCTGGTCGTGCCCTGGAGGCCCCTCGTTCTTGCCGCATGACCAAGACCTGTGCCGCGGTGTTCTGGCGTTGGCAAACATCTCTTACGCAGCGGTGACTTGACCGATCCACGGGCGCATTTCCTTTCCCCATCCAACTTCCTCAAACTGCAATGCGTGATCAGAGCGCCAAACATTGCCCCCCCTTCCTTCCTCGCCCGGATTGCACAAGCACCCGGCGGAACGACAGGTTGTCGGCGCCGCCTTCGAGACCTGCGCCGCGGCAGTGTTGGGCGGCCGTGTCCCGCTGCGTCAAGTGGATCTCCCGCCCGAGATGTTCAGGCAAGACCTGTGCCTCGCTGCCGCAATGCAGCGCGCTCACGTCGGAAAACCACTCTAAGGCCGGGGTGCCCGACTCCGCGATGGGGCCCCGCCATTCGCTCGCCGAGAAATGAGCCCTGCCCCGCCAGCAGGAGATAAAATAGTAGCAGTGAGCGAACCTGTTATTGGCGGCGCGGCATGCCTTCGAAATGTTTGACAACTGCAGCCCAAACTTTGACGGGTTTGTCCCAGGCGCGCTGAGGCCGAGCCCAGCCGTCGAGCCACTGCTTGACTGCTGAGCCTGACGCAAAATGCCTGGGCCGCGTCCCGTGGCGACTAAGCGCAGCATTGTCGCCGGGCACCTCCCCTTCTCTACCGGCGCCCGATGTCGCCCCCAGGCGGCCTCGCAGCACCGCATGCTGCGATCCCGTGACACTGTGTATCGCCATCGCGTAGTTGGGCACTGCATGAGGACCCTGTTGCTCGATCCTGCGCGCGACCGCGCGGCGCCGCGAAGGTCGAGCAAGCGCGCGTGAGCATTCTGCCCCCCCCCCCCCCCCCTTTTGAGCGCCCCGCTCTGCTGGCCTATCACGCCGCTCTTTGTTCCACCCCCGCGTCGACGCCGACGCGCCATGTGCGCAGAACAAGTCTAACGCAAATGCAGAGGCCCCTCAACCTTCGGACGACGTGCGAGCCAACGGATTCGGAGAGCTGAGAAACACGCTCTTCCTGGCAGCGCATAAGTCAATGCGCCGCGTCGACCAGCGCGCAACCCGCACGCGCCGAACTGCAGCAATGCGAGGAGCTCGGGGATGGCCGACCACGCGAATCTCCAAGTCGCATACCCAGATCATTTGACTAAGCGGCGGCGCCTGGCGTGCGATATATATATATATATATATATATATATGCTTCAAAACGCAATATGCCAAACATCCGGCAAACCTCGCTTCATTCCCGCACCCCTGATCAACACTTCGGAAAGGCCGAAGCGGTCGTAAATGAAACCAAGCTGGCTCGCAATCCGAAGTGACGCGCGCAACGGCATGCATCCTACTGCGAACTCCTCAATACCCGACGGGGGGCGCCACCCCCGCCGCAGCCCCGCGTCGGCCCCAGTCGCGGGCGGCCGCCGCGCGCCGAAGGCGCTCCGACCCCCATTGCGGCGCGACGGCGAGGCGGTTCTGTCGGGGGGGGGGGGGGGGCGGCGCCCCTTGCACCCCCCCCCCCTCCCCGGAACTAATCAATAAGCCTGGAATCATTCCACGGCCGCTGAAACAAAATGTCTCCGCTGAACGCTGCCATGGGCACTCTGCAATGCCACGGCCGCTTGCAAGTGCGCCGCGCCCGACCACGAATGCATCTCGGACCCCCCCCCCCCGCCCTTCCAATGGGGGCGGCCCTCGTGGGGGAACTCCCGGGCACCGCGGCGCCCCGGGAGGGCGTCGCTCCTTCGGGCCACTGCGCCGCGTGGAATTCCCGAGCCACAAACCAGAGCCCGCGCAGCGTGGCCACGGGCCCACCCCCCCGACCGACCACCTCCATCCAGACTTTTTTGCCAACAAGCAACAAGCGTCCGAAGACCGCGAGCGCAAACCGAGGCCGGGCAGCGTACTTCTCGATGGAATGAAACAAGCCAGTCACTGGTTCGACGGCCACATCTAGTAGCCGTTCAAAGTGTGCCGACTTATCATTGCCGAGGCCCGACATTGCGCGCGCGCGTGCACGCGCGGCGCAACTCTTCTACCGTGATGTCTGGGAGCTTGGCGCAAGCCGCGTTCAGCCGTTTCTAGGAGTTAACGTGCGCATGCCCCTTGCGCGCAGCTGGGGGGCCCGTCCACATTGACACAGCTTCCTGGCAACTGTGTGATCAAGTGCATTCGCTGGGTGGGGGACCGTTGCCCTTCGATAGCTATCTCCCCTGGCGCGCCGGGCTGCCGCTTGACAGATCGGTGCAAAGTGCCCGCTGCACCCAGCGCGGCGATTCACTCTTGCAGCCTCCGAGGCCCCAGGGCGGCGAACCCCCCGCCGTCGGGGCAAGGCGTGCAACTTGCAAAACCATCGTGCCCAAACTACCCCCACCCGTCAAATGACACCCGCGCAAGCTTCATCCCGTTTTTCGCGCCTCCCAGCACAAGTGCCCAACGTCAGTGGGCCTTGTCTGGAATCAGCAACCGCGCCCCCCTGTCGCCTCGAGGCGCGCTAGAATGCGATGCGCTGTCTGGCGAAGCATCTGCAATCTCTCGAGCCCCCCCCCTCACTCCGGGCCGCGCCTAGTCGCGCGCGGCGCGCCCTCTCGAGGGCGCCCTGTCGGCGCCCAGCCCAGGCGCGCCCCTGGCGGCCATGGAGGCCCACGAAATCCGCGATATGGCTTCCAAGACGGAAATGGGAAGCCGCCGAGGATGCCAAGGTGACCCGCGATGATTGCTGGACCGCCCAGGAGGCTCACGCCCATGCTTCGCAGCGTGTTGTTCGGCGCTCGTTCGCGTCATTTCCAGCCCGA